CTTGGTGTGGTTAGGACGTGCGCCGCTGTGTTGTGCGCCTGACTGGCTGTGTGGTGACCACAAGTCCGCTTGGTCCGCTGGGGTGGGCGTTGTGGGTGTTGTAAAACATTAGTACCGTGGCGGATTATATTATGATAGTGGGGTCTATGAGCGAGGCGGGTGGACATCCAGGGGCCCCACACCTGGGCCCGCCGACACTGCCGCCGCAGTCCCCGCTCTCCCCGCCCGCCGCAATGCTCCCCTCCTTCGGTTTCACGCAGGAGCAGGTTGCCTGCGTCTGCGAGGTCCTTCAGCAGAGTGGGAACATAGAGAGGCTGGGCAGGTTCCTGTGGTCACTGCCCGCCTGTGAACACTTGCACAAGAACGAGTCCGTCCTCAAAGCGAAGGCCCTGGTGGCCTTCCACCGCGGCAATTTCAAAGACCTGTACCGAATTTTGGAATCGCACAATTTCTCAATACAAAATCATGGAAAATTACAGCAATTGTGGCTCAAGGCGCACTACATAGAGGCGGAGAAGCTCCGCGGGCGGCCGCTTGGCGCTGTGGGCAAGTACCGCGTCCGGCGCAAATTCCCTCTCCCGCGCACCATCTGGGACGGCGAGGAGACTTCCTATTGCTTCAAGGAGAAGTCACGGAACGTTCTGCGGGAGTGGTACGCCCACAACCCGTACCCGTCACCGAGGGAGAAGCGAGAGCTAGCAGAGGCCACCGGACTCACCACAACCCAGGTCTCCAACTGGTTCAAGAACCGCCGACAACGGGATCGCGCTGCCGAACAAAAAGACGGGTAAGTACATGTTTCGTCAAGTATCTTCACCTTCGGCGCTCCCTCACACTCCCGCGGCTCATGCCATTTACGTCACAAGTGCAATATTCAAGGGCAGACGGGACGACGCTTAATATATACACCGGACAACCTCTTGACCCCTACGGGCTCACCGTAGCCCGTGCTACTTGGAACTTTTTTGTTCCGAGTAGCTGACTCTAAAACAGCAACAACAACTCTTGACCACCCCAGTAGGTCTGGTGGTATAGCCACAGTATCTCACCTGGAAGGGTTAGCCAACAGGAGGTGGTAACCACGAGTAGGCCATCGTAACGAGTCGGTGGATTGACCTTGTCAGACGAGATAATTGCTCACACTTGCAAGACAATTGACACAGCCCGCGGCGCCCGTGTCCGGAGCCTCCCGTCTTGTTGGGAAGGTCACGGTCTGCTACTCGCATTCTTCTCCACTGTAAACATTGTCTTACTAATACACGGATCCACTCAACCTTTGTACGGATAGTTCTATACTAGCGGTGCTGGGCGGTGCTGCATATATATATATACTCAACCATGATTGGTCAGTTAGGAACACAGCCCTTGGGTCAACATAGCACAAGCATATCCCAGCACAGCATTAGACATATCTTGACGTATCTATGAATAACAATATAGCAATGCAAGATTATAAAATTCAACAACTCAGCCCAGATGACATCAGTAAATTTAAAACTACTAACTCGATGCAATGTTGGGTAGAACACCGCCACATTCAAGTCAGGTGTATATGTCAGACCTCGAGAGCTGGTACTTTGTGCTTTGCTCATTGCCTTCCCCCATCACTTTCGCCTCGACAACACAACTACTCGTAAACGTCTATGGCGATCTAGTTATAATTTTTAACACGGTGGGGACTGAGGATGGAGAGGTGTTCTTTACATGCTGTCAGCGCCCAATATGTAGAGGTTCTGGTGATAATGGGTTGGAATGGCACCGCCTTTAGCTCTATACTAACCGCTTTTGCATCATTTATCTCAACGCTGACACAAGACACATTAACATTCAGTGTGTTGATCGAGCACGAACTGTCGAGCAGAGTCTCCCTTGTCTACAACACACACACAATCCCCAGCACCATATTTAAGCTCGTTCATACGATGGTGTCAGAGCCCCAGCACCATATTTAAGCTCGTTCATACGATGGTGTCAGAGCCTCAGCACCATATTTAATCTTGTTCATAGGATGGTGTCAGAGCACCACACACACACACACACACAGGAGCCCCAGCACCATATTTAAGCTCGTTCATACGATGGCGTCGCAGCACCACCATATTAAAGCTTGCTTAAAAATCTGTGTGTGCGATGCTCGAGATGCGCCGTAAGAAGAAGAAGGGCCTTATTACAGCATCTTAATGAATAATAAATATTGTCACACGATAAGACTTAACAAGTCCCGCGAAGCTCTTGCAAATCAGTTGGTATTATATACTACTAATTTCTTCTCGCCAACGGGGATTTAATACCTGTAAAACTTAACTAGCTAAGCAAGACGTGAAATAAGAGGAGTATAGTCTTGTATTCTCCTCAGCCTGTGGCTGCCTCCGCCGGGACGCTATGGGAGTGAGACTTGCAAGAAATTGAACATGCAACCTAACATATGACTTGTAACTATTCAGTATAGTTATATATATTTTTGTCTAATTTTATATCGAGTTTATTTAGTATATTACGAAATTTTGAACATAGGACCGCGCCAAGCAACAGCCTGTTGGACCAAGTTTTCACAGGTCAAGCCTGGACGGGCTTGGGGAGCTGAAGAACTCCCAAAACCTCATCCAGGTACAATCTAGGTATGAGTGGATGATGGTGGTTCGTGCTGGGTAAGGAATCCTCCCAGTTGTAGTGTGACGCAGGGTCAGTAATCCCCAGCTGTAGTGTGACGCTGGGTCAGTAATCCCCAGTTGTAGCGTGATGCAGTGTCAGTAATCCCCAGCTGTAGTGTGACGCTGGGTCAGTAATCCCCAGCTGTAGTGTGACGCTAGGTCAGTAATCCCCAGCTGTAGTGTGACGCTAGGTCAGTAATCCCCAGCTGTAGTGTGACGCTGGGTCAGTAATCCCCAGTTGTAGTGTGACGCTGGGTCAGTAATCCCCAGTTGTAGCGTGATGCAGTGTCAGTAATCCCCAGCTGTAGTGTGACGCTGGGTCAGTAATCCCCAGCTGTAGTGTGACGCTAGGTCAGTAATCCCCAGCTGTAGTGTGACGCTAGGTCAGTAATCCCCAGCTGTAGTGTGACGCTGGGTCAGTAATCCCCAGCTGTAGTGTGACGCTAGGTCAGTAATCCCCAGCTGTAGTGTGACGCTGGGTCAGTAATCTCCAGCTGTAGTGTGACGCTAGGTCAGTAATCCCCAGCTGTAGTAACTCTGGGTCAGTAATCCCCAGCTGTAGTGTGACGCTGGGTCAGTAATCCCCAGTTGTAGCGTGATGCAGTGTCAGTAATCCCCAGCTGTAGTGTGACGCTGGGTCAGTAATCCCCAGCTGTAGTGTGACGCTAGGTCAGTAATCCCCAGCTGTAGTGTGACGCTAGGTCAGTAATCCCCAGCTGTAGTGTGACGCTGGGTCAGTAATCCCCAGCTGTAGTGTGACGCTAGGTCAGTAATCCCCAGCTGTAGTGTGACGCTGGGTCAGTAATCTCCATCTGTAGTGTGACGCTAGGTCAGTAATCCCCAGCTGTAGTAACTCTGGGTCAGTAATCCCCAGCTGTAGTGTGACGCTGGGTCAGTAATCCCCAGCTGTAGTGTGACGCTGGGTCAGTAATCCCCAGCTGTAGTGTGACGCTGGTTCAGTAATCCCCAGCTGTAGTGTGACGGGCCAGTAATCCTCAGCTGTAGTGTGACGCTGGGTCAGTAATCCTCAGCTGTAGTGTGACGCTGGGTCAGTAATCCCCAGCTGTAGTGTGAGGCTGGGTCAGTAATCTCCAGCTGTAGTGTGACGCTGGGTCAGTAATCCCCAGTTGTAGTGTGACGCTGGGTCAGTAATCCCCAGCTGTAGTGTGGGGCTGGGTCAGTAATCCCCAGCTGTAGTGTGACGCTGGGTCAGTAATCCCCAGCTGTAGTAACTCTGGGTCAGTAATCCCCAGCTGTAGTGTGACGCTGGGTCAGTAATCCCCAGCTGTAGTGTGGGGCTGGGTCAGTAATCCCCAGCTGTAGTGTGACGCTAGGTCAGTAATCCCCAGCTGTAGTAACTCTGGGTCAGTAATCCCCAGCTGTAGTGTGACGCTGGGTCAGTAATCCCCAGCTGTAGTGTGACGCTGGGTCAGTAATCCCCAGCTGTAGTGTGACGCTGGTTCAGTAATCCCCAGCTGTAGTGTGACGGGCCAGTAATCCTCAGCTGTAGTGTGACGCTGGGTCAGTAATCCTCAGCTGTAGTGTGACGCTGGGTCAGTAATCCCCAGCTGTAGTGTGAGGCTGGGTCAGTAATCTCCAGCTGTAGTGTGACGCTGGGTCAGTAATCCCCAGTTGTAGTGTGACGCTGGGTCAGTAATCCCCAGCTGTAGTGTGGGGCTGGGTCAGTAATCCCCAGCTGTAGTGTGACGCTGGGTCAGTAATCCCCAGCTGTAGAGTGAGGGACGCTCACACTAGACAGATTTCAGTTCTAAACACAAAAAGGATGCGTTGGTCTGCATTTATGGTTGCAATATCTAACTGCTAACAATTAAACTGTAAAAATAGGATATTCGACTGTTAAAAACTGTTAACGATTGTACAAATGAGTGCAAAGTGTCACCGCCAAGTGTGTGTGTGTGTGTGTGTGTGTGTGTGTGTGTGTGTGTGTGTGTGTGTGTGTGTGTGTGTGTGTGTGTGTGTAAATTACGAAAATAAACACGTGATTAAAAATATGACAGTGTCAGACCACGGAGGAAAATTGAAACAGGAATTACTTTAAGTACTTTCGTATATTAATACATCTTCAGAAGGAGTCCTTTTGAAGATGTATTAATATACGAAAGTACTTAAGGAAATTCCTGTTTCAATTTTCCTCCGTGGTCTGACACTGTCATATTATATATATATATATATATATATATATATATATATATATATATATATATATATATATATATATATATATATATATATATATATATATATATATATATAATAAATATAATATATATAAATGGAAACAATATTTTTATTGTTATAACATGCCTATAAAACGTTAATAGCCTGACACGGTAGGGTAACGGATAATTTGTTACCGCCGGCTAAGTGACGGGTTGTGACCCTCTAGTTACGGCGAGTGTGGCACTGTTGTGACGGACAGAAGGTGGGTTAAGGGCACCCTAGAGACGGGCCTGAGGGCCCTCGGCGAGGCTCTTGGGAAGGTAGAGTCGGGTGTCGGGCCCCGAGGTCAGCTACACCCTCAGCCGCCACCTTGGAAATATTAAACGAACGTTCCGCACATGAGTTATAATAAGTCTTTAGCAGTACTACGTTACTGTGGGAGGAGACACCACAGGCCTTAGCCTCAACACGTTACTGTGGGGGACAAACACCAGAGGCCTTAGCCTCAACATGTTACTGTGGGGGCAAACACCAGAGGCCTTAGTCTCAATACGTTACTGTGGGGGACAAACACCAGAGGCCTTAGTCTCAACATGTTACTGTGGGGGACAAACACCAGAGGCCTTAGCCTCAACATGTTACTGTGGGGGCAAACACCAGAGGCCTTAGTCTCAATACGTTACTGTGGGGGACAAACACCAGAGGCCTTAGTCTCAACATGTTACTGTGGGGGACAAACACCAGAGGCCTTAGCCTCAACATGTTACTGTGGGGGACAAACACCAGAGGCCTTAGCCTCAACACGTTACTGTGGGGGCAAACACCAGAGGCCTTAGTCTCAACACGTTACTGTGGGGGACAAACACCAGAGGCCTTAGTCTCAACACGTTACTGTGGGGGACAAACACCAGAGGCCTTAGTCTCAACACGTTACTGTGGGGGACAAACACCAGAG